CGCGTGTTCCAGAAGGCACACGCATCCAGATCTCAGTCTGAGAAAGGGGAAAATTTGTTCTATTTAAAGGGATGTGTAATTAACAAAACAAAAACAAAATAACCGTAATTTAGATCTTCAGAAAAGATCATGGCAGAGGCTGGTCCCATTAACGTGTGGAGTTTGACGCGGTGCAGGTGGTTCGAGCCCTTTAGGTGCCTCCTGCTCTCGTGTTTAAAAACTCTTCTACCCCGAAGGCAGTCTGTGGACAAGTCTGCCGGGCAGCCGCGGTGCGGGCGCTCTCCCGCCTGGAGGCACGTCAGCCGGGTGTGAGAAACCAGAGTCCACGGCACCCTCCCGGAGCCCGTGTGTCCAGAGGTGGCATCGGGGGGCACGGCGTTCCCGGGGCAGCTGGGGGAGGACGCTCTGCCCCTTCGAGCCTGTCGGGCCACGTGGGCCATCTCGGCTCCCACTTCTCCAGATGGAGCTGTGCACAGGCTGCGGCCTTGGCGCTGACTTGCACGGCCTGTGAGTGACTTGGGGTATCTTGGGGTGTCAGAGAGGCAGGAGTCTGGGGGACAGTGTCGGATGTGCGCTCCTCGCCATCTCACACCCAGGCCTGGCCGCGGGAAAGATGTAAAAAAGCAGCCCTTGGTTTTAATAATTTGTTGTAGTAATTTAATAGTTTTTAAATAATATATCTTCTTTGAAGTTGTCTAGAGCGTTGCTTCGATGTGTGATTGCTGTGAAAATATTAGTGAGATGCGTCATGTTTTTTTCCTGTTAAGTCTGTAAAATCAGGCATGGATTTTGAACTGCAGAACCTCCATGGCCACGGGAGGCAAGGGCAGCCATGTGGGGCCATGTCGGGCCGTGCCAGCGTGGGTGGTGTGGTTCAGCCCCTCCACTTACCAGAGGAACCGAGACCCAGAGGCCTTTGCAGCTCAGCAGGGATCACCTGGCAAAGCAGGTGCTAAAACCCAGTCTCTGATTTCCTTCAGGCCCAAGGGGCAGAGCTCCCCCCAGCCCTGGGTGATGTGGGTCTTTGAGGGCTGGCATGCTCCAGGGCCTTGGCTCAGGTTTGCGGAGACCCCTTCCCTTGGGTCTTGGGGACATGCTGATCTGCGGGCCTTAAGCCTTTGTCAGAGCATCTGGCCCACTGGTGAGGACCCAAGCAGCCCCCTGCTCTTTTCCTGGGCCTCTGGGCACATGGGACACGGGGCGTGTAAGGGTCCTCAGGCAGGGCATCTGCAGTTGGGGTCTGCTAGTGATGGACCCCCTTGCCGATCTGATGACAGCTCTGGGTTCTTTTGCCAGAAAATGGAAACCCCGGGGTCAAGGAGCTGAACAGCCAGCCCTCCCACCACATGCCTGTGGGCAAGATGAGACAGTGGCCCCAGCCCTGAGTCTTGCTCAGGCCTCTTGGGTTTAAATGAAATTTTAAGGGTTCTCCAATCCACTGAACTGCTGCCGTGGCCCCCCACCACGTCCACGGCACCCCCTCCACGGCACCCCCCCCGCCACGCCCGCGTCCCCAGAGATTGAGGCTGGCTGAGGCTTCCATCTGCTGAGCAGTGGCGGCGTTCCTGTTCTGTGCCTGGTGCGGGGTCCATCCCACCAGGGAGGGGACACGGGCCTGGTCAGCAGGTAGCCAGTCACCGATGCGACGTGGGTGTTAGATTTTTGCCGTCCTTTCCTGAACATCACAGCCCATGGGGTTCCTTTGTTGTCTCCTGGGAATAATCGTTCCCAGCAGTAACAGCTGAGGGACAAGAATTACGCTCTCATTCATGAGCTGCGGGGACCTGAAGGGGCAGCCTGGGGTTCTTGAGAAACGTGGGAACGCCCCCGCCGCGGCCATATCAGACGAGAGAACGCAGAGCGCTCGTTTGTTCTTGGACGCCCCTCCCCGCTCTGAGTCACTGCTTGCTTCGGAGAGGAGACATATGTTCTGATCACTTTTGTCTTCTCGGATTACAGGGCTGTTCAGCCCAGGGTGACTAAGTGGGAGCATTCTGGGGTCTTAAATGCTCTCAGCTGGGTGTTTCTATAGCGCGGTCACCATAGCACCGCTGAGCCAGGAGCAGGAAAGGCAGCGGAGGGTGGGAGTGAGGAGCCGGCCTCAGCGCCCGCCCGCCCGCCCGCCTACGGCAGGGACAGGCTCGGGGCCATTTCCAGCAGCTCAGTCATGGGAGGTGCGGGGCCAGGCGGTGTTCTTTCCTCCACACTTTTCCAGAGAGCTCCAGCACTCCTCCACGTCTGGGGTGTGGGTGTCCTTGCCCACAGAGCAAGCCAGGGTGGCCCGGGCCCTGGGGGTGGGGCGTCCTCCGCTCTCCGTCCCCCTCGAGGAGTGAAGCTCCTCAGTTGGTCCAGGTTTCCAGGATCTGCCCAGTGAAGTTGTGGTCTCTCTCCACAAGGAGCCACATCCAGGAAAAGGAGGTCGGGAAAGCCGGCTGTCATTCCTCCACAGAAGTGGCAGCCCCGTGTCCCAGCTGGTGACGGCAGTGCCCAGGCTGGGGTGCTCAGAACAGCTGGACGGCCCAGGGGCCCGTGGTGGAAGCTGTCTGCTGCCCCTGGTCCTCAACGCCCCACCCAGGGCTGGCTGCCCCGGGGCGTAGCTCAGAAGGCTCTCCCGCCAGCTCCCCAGGAGGCGTGGTCCCCGGGGGGTCGGGGTGCCCCCCAGCTCCTGCCAGGGCCCTGCTGTCCACCTCAGTCCCGTTCCCCCCCAAGACCTGCACTGCTCCCAGCCGTTCTTGGGGCTTGTTTGAATAAATGGAAATCTTAAAAATAAAACACCACTCCCTCCCCCGGCACAGGAGGCTGGCAGACCCTGCTAATGAGGCCAGTGCCCTGCGCCGCACGGGTCCAGCGCTGCTTTCTCTCCACTCCTGGGAGCGGGGAGCGCTGCCGCGAAAGACATACCACAGCCTAAAAACCCAGAAACCATGTGTAGGTCAGACAGTGGGGCCGGCTTGGGGGCTGTGCGTGCTCAGGGTGAGCAGACCCAGGGGGCCCCGCGTCCTGGTTTCCGCCCTGTCTGTGCTAACCGTTCACAGTGGCCCTTCTCCTTCAGAGTCCCCGCTAGGTGACAGTGGTGTGGAGGCCAGCACGCTGGGCGAACTCCCTGCATGAGGCCACGGTCCCATCTCTGTGTGTTAGCTCTTGCCCAGGCTTGCGGTCTCCGCATGCCTGGCCCAGCCCCAGCCCGCCACCCTCCCAGGCCTGGCCACTGCTGAGTGGGTGGGGACGCTAGAGCAGCCCCCAGGGACAGGGGGACGTGGTGGCACGAGGAGGGGGGGGTGGGCGTCTCCCTGGGGGGTTAAACCCTGGTCTCCTGGAACCTCGCAGGGGCTTCTCCTCAGGGGGCTCTCGGGCACCGAGGTAAGCCGAGGAAGGCGCCCTTGCTGTGGCCCACGTGTCCCTGACAGGCCCCTGGGGAAGGGTGGGCTGGCCATGGGTCAGAGCGCATCAGCACTGGGGCCCTAGGGGTGTGCGTGCCCTGCGGGTGCACGTGCCCCTTCCAGGCCCTTCCATCCAGAGGGTGTTCTCTCCTGGGCCTCTGTGCTCTGCTGTCCTCCCAGGCGCCTCGTGGGGCTTGTGGGAGGGGCTGTGGTTGTGAGTGGCCCCCCACTGCTGGATTCCTCCCCATGAAGCTCAGCCTTGCCCACTGTGCCCCGCCCGGCTCCAGGCTTGCTCGCCCACTTCCCAGAGGAGCTGTAGGGCGGAGGAACTGTGCAGGGTCGGGGAGGCAGGGCTGGGGGAGCCGAGAGCCCGCCAGGGGGGGTCTCTTACCTGTGCCCAGGCCTCTCCCAGGCCGGCGGGGCTTGCTTCCCAAGAGCCATCCTGGGTCCCCTCAGGCACACCGGCGGCGGCGGAGCCCGTGGCTGCCCGGGAGGCCCAGGGCCTGCTCCTTGAGGCTGTGGCCTCAGTGCAGCTGCCGGCAGTGGGCAGGCTATTTGGAGCCCCTTTTAAGCTGCCCTCTCCAAGGGGCCAGTGGAGCTCAGGGTGGTGAGGTGGGTGGTGTGCGGGGCAGAGGGAGGGGGCCCTGGGTTTTGGTGGCAGGCTGGGCAGGCCTGGCCTTGGGGTAGTGTGGCTACTTCACGCTGGCCGAGCCCGTGCGCTGGTGGCCAGTTGGGGACAAGCCACACCCACAGGCTGGTCCTCGGCCCTCCAGCTGAGCGCTGCCGGGCAGGGAGGCGGCAGGAACAGCCTGTTCTCCGCGCCTCCTCCTGGCGCCCACCTCCACTCAGCACCGCCCACCCACACTGAGTCAGAGCCGGTGGGGGAGGCGCCCCTCGGGTCAGGGAAGACCCCAAGGCCACAAAGACCGGCCCCAGCAGCAGTGCCTCCCCGTGTGGGCAGTGGCCCCGGGGTGCGGAGGGAAGCAGCCAGAAGGGACTCCCTTCAGGAACGGCCAGGACCCCACAGACCCCATCACACACACACTGACGGGGCTCTGCAGACCCCAGCGCCGTGTGTCTGGGGTGCTCCTGCCTCCCCGTGATGGCTGCCTACAGTCTTGAGGGTGCTTTGTTACCAAAAGTTTCCAGCCTGCAAAATCAGAATGTTCCAGCATGCCCCGGCATCAAGCAGTGTCTCCTGCATTCTGTGCCCACCCCCGCAGGATTTGGGTGTGAATTAGTCATTCTCAAACACATCGTGCCAGGCGAGCTTTCCTGGTCCACCAGCAGGGTGGTTTCAGATGCCTGGAATCAGGATCCATGGGAGGTGCCGTGATGCCACCAGGCCTCATGATCTGCCAACATGGTCCACACGTGTGTGGGGCAGGGGTCGGGGGACACGAGCTCCCCGGGGGACAGAGGCCCAGTGGGGCGTGGAGTTGCCCTGCTGTCACTCTGCCTGTGCCCTGTTGGCCCAAGTGGGTCGTCGCCAGGCCCCGGCTGTGGGCCGGCCGGCCGTGCACTCCACTCCCCATGGGGTTGCCCAGAGCTGGGAGTGATCCTGTGTTGCCCGGTCAGCAGCTCATGTGTGTCCCCCACACTCTCTCCGCCCTCCCCCAGTACATCGACGCGATCAGCAACAAGCAGGGTGAGCTGGAGAACTACGTGTCGGACGGCTACAAGACAGCCCTGACGGAGGAGAGGAGAAGGTTCTGCTTCCTGGTGGAGAAGCAGTGCGCCGTGGCCAAGAACTCCGCCGGCTACCACTCCAAGGTGAGGTCTGCCGGCCGCGGGCCCACGTGGGCAGCAGTGGGCCGTGTCTGGTGGCCGTCGGGGGCGTGTCCGCTGTTGAGCTGTGTTGAAAGGAACACCGTGCATTTCAGATGCCCCTGGGGACAGCGTTCTAGTAGGAGAGTCACCGGTCAGACACCGCAGATGTCTGGAGACTGGTTAGAAATTTTGCTAGTGCTGTTTTGAGGACAGTGGCAGGAGGCTGGCTCCTCGGGGAGGGCTGCAGTGCCAGGGAGCCCCTCGTAGAGGATCCCGAGGAGCCCCTGTTTAGAGCCCATAGTCGGGAGCTGGGGAGGGAGCAGATCTGTCCGCTGGAACATTCCAGAACATTCCAAGAGCTCAGCAGATGAAGCTAGGCAGCTGAGTTCGCATCCTTTTTCCACAAAGGGGTCTGCGGATCAGCGGGGTAAATGCACGTTCACACACGTGCACTTGTTAGGAGACATGTTCTGCGGTCCCCACGGTCTGGGCTGCGTAGGAGAGAGACGCCCTCCCTCCGCAGAGAGGCTCTGTCTCCTGCTCCTGCCCGAGGGCCCGCTTCCAGGTGCGAGGCAAGGACAGGGAAGGACCTGCGTCCCCTGTGGGAGCTGGGAGGGCTCCCTGGGGCAGCCGCCCGGGAGCTGCCGTGGAGGCAGCTCATGGAAGCAGCTGTGAGCTGCCTAGCAGGGGCGGCTGCATGGCCCACACAGTTCCCGGCTGCGCTGCGGTGGGTGGCGGCGCCCTCTGGCGGCAGCCAGGCCCCACGGCAGGTCAGGGAGGATGCGGGCTCCTTGGTGTGGCAGGAGGGACAGAGGGCAGAAAAGCCATTGTCACTGTGCAAGAGGCGACAGCTGACCTCCCAGGGAGCTGGATGCAGCCCTCCCAAGCGGATCTAGAGGGGCCCAGGGGCCGGGGCACCAGGGCAGGACCCCCCCCAAGGCTCTTCCCTGCAGCAGGCCACCAGGCATCTCCCTGGCAGGTGGGTCCAAGCCCCACAGACACGTTTCATCACCAGGTGGGAGCCCTGGGTTGGCCGGTCATAGCAGCTGTGGAGGCCTTCCGAGAGCCACACCCTGACCCTGGGGTGGCCCCCGTTTGGTGCCGGGTCCCTGTGGCCTTGTCACCACCACCCAGATCTATCGACCAGTTATCTCAGCCAGGGTCCAGGTTAACATTTTGGGTTTGGGCCGTGGCACGCAGAAGCAGCGCCAGATGTGTGGAGGAACAGATATGGCTGTGTTCCAATCAAACTTCATTTACAAAACAGGCGGCCAGCGCCTGGGCCACGGTTTGCTGGCCCTGGTCTCAACCAGCACGCAGTGGAGGGTGTGGCCTGCTCACAGGGCCTTTTTCCAGCTTCTTCCACATTTCCCACACAGATGCCCCCTCTGTGCCCAGACACAGGTCAGAGTGGGGAGAGGCAGTGAGGGCCGAACAGCCCCTTCGGAGGTCTCGGGACAGTGATTGCCCCGAGCTAGGGAGCACTCCACCCAGGGGAGTTCCAGGCTCTGCAGTGGCACACGGGTGACACCGTCTGCTACAGGTCAGGTAGACACTTTGGCCCAACAGACAGGAGGGAGGGCACAGCTGCCCTCAAACCCTGGACAGGCCCATGCAGTGGGCACCAGACCCCAGCTGGGCTACAGGGAACCTCAGGCTGGCACCCCACTCGGCTGTCCCTCGTTCTGGGATTCCTCGCCGGACCCGTGGCTTCGTCATCTTTTGTTAGGCCCTGTGCCCGTCCGGCTAGCTGCGCCCTGGGCACACCCCAGCGCACACCGGAGGGGCAGCTGGGCTCTCGGACCCCTGGGTTGGGGACAGGGACAGTTAGCGCCTTGCATCTACCAGGTACCACCTGATGGGGTCTTGCTTTCCTGCACCCTTCCGCAGCCTGGCTTGACCGCGGCTCGTGACCCCAGGATGACGCTCTCTCCAGGACCTCATGGTTGCCCACGGAGCGTCTGTCCCTTTTTCCTTCTTCGGTGGCCCCCGCCCGGGTTGGACCTTCCTTTTTGTCTCAGTCCTGGTGGCCCCGTGACTGAGTGGCTTATGGCCATAGGCTGCCTCTTTCCCAGGTCGGGGGTCAGGGACCCCCAGGTCCCCATCTGGCTGAGTCACCACCTGCTGGGGAGCAGCCGTGAGCCTTTGAGCCTTAGGCAGGTGTGCCCCTCCTGAGTGGGGGCGTGTCTCTGGGGCCAGGCCCTTGTGGTCCTGCGGGGACAGCCCCTGCCGCGCGCCCAGCCCTGACCCTGCCCTGTTCTGCTTCCTCTGCTTCAGGGCAAGGAGCTGCTAGCACAGAAGTTGCCACTGTGGCAACAGGCCTGCGCCGACCCCAACAAGATCCCAGACCGCGCGGTGCAGCTGATGCAGCAGATGGCCGGGAGCAACGGCTCCGTCCTCCCCAGCGCCCTGTCGGCCTCCAAGTCCAGCCTGGTCATCTCAGACCCCATCCCGGGGGCCAAGCCCCTGCCGGTGCCCCCTGAGCTGGCCCCGTTTGTGGGGGTGAGTCCGCGGCCTCCAGCAAGCGTTATGGGTGTGGAAGGCTGGCCCCCACCCTTGCACTGGGGTAGCCGGGGTGAGAGGTTCCCACGCCGGCCTCGCCTGACCAGGCCCCCGCCCCCGACGCCCCCCCCCCCCACCCCCCGCCTCTTCTCCACAGCGGCTGTCTGCCCAGGAGAGCACGCCCGTCATGAATGGCGTCTCGGGCCCCGATGGTGAGGACTACAGCCCCTGGGCCGACCGCAAGGCCGCCCAGCCCAAGACCTCGTCTCCTCCACAGTCCCAGAGCAAGCTGAGCGACTCCTACTCCAACACGCTCCCCGTGCGCAAGAGCGTGGCTCCGAAGAACAGCTACGCAGCCAGTAAGGGCTCGGACGTGCCCCCAGCCCCCAGCCCCCAGCTGTCATGTCACACCCGAGGGGAGGTCGGGGAGGCCTCCCTCAGAGCCCCGAGCGTGTGCGTGCCCTGGCGCGGCCCCCTTGGGCCCCCGGTGAGATCTCTGTCCTGGACCCTCGGGCTTTGCCTGGCTCCCCTCAAGTCGAACACGATCGGGCGGGGCTGTGCCAGGACCTCTGGGCTCAGCCTTTGATGGGAGCACGCGGGCGGTGCTTGGCAGGGCTGTAGGGGGACAGTGGGGCAGCCCCCCTCTCCCGGCCCGGCTCCCTTGGCTCTGCCGTCCCGTCCCCTGAACGGCACCCCACTCCTTCCCCCGGCTGGTGAGGGTCTGCTGATGAGCACATGGGAAAGCCGAGGTCCAGGCCCAGAATGCCTCACAGCTGGTGAGCGGTAGGTCTGCAGCTGGATCCGCCTCTGCGGCATCTGGGTCCTCCCCACATGAGCGTCCCCCTCCAGGCCCCCCTGGGGCCTTCTAGCAACTTCCCGTCAGGGGGCTGAGCCGACGGGAGGACGAGCACATCCCCTCACTCCTACCCTGTCGTCCTGGCAGCTGAGAACAAGACCCTGCCGCGCTCCAGCTCCATGGCGGCCGGCCTGGAGCGCAACGGCCGCATGCGGGTGAAAGCTATCTTCTCTCACGCGGCCGGAGACAACAGCACCCTGCTGAGCTTCAAGGAGGGAGATCTCATCACCCTGCTGGTGCCTGAGGCCCGCGACGGCTGGCACTACGGGGAGAGCGAGAAGACCAAAATGTAAGCGTCCGCAAGGCCGCCCCCTCCCAGCCAGCTGTCGGCCTGGGCCCAGATCGTCTGCCTCCTGACCCTGCGCCCTCAGGTGTCCTGGCGGCTCGGGGTCCTTTCCAGACTGACTATCCCGCCGTGGGTTTTCAGTCGTCAAATCTCGGCAGCACAGACCGTCTCTCACCAGCCCGTCACCCTCACCGCCCGTGTCACCCACTTGGCCCAGAGCCCCGCACGCACACGCCGCGGCCCGTCTGGCACCTTCCCTGCTGTCGGGTGTGCGGCTTCCCAGTTGGCAGAGGCCAGCCGTCCGCCCCAGGCCTTCTGCTGCCCAGTCTCCTCTGATCAGCCTGTGTGCTGGGGCATCGGGTCACAGGACCTGTGTCTTCATGGCTTAATTCAACCCCCGTGGCCCCGAGGCTCTGCCAGGCCCTCGTTCTCACGCCACCGCGGGGCTGCCCTGGTCAGGAGCCGCCCCTTCCCCCGAGCATCACTGTCGTCTGGAGGTGGCTTGGTGGCGAGATGGAGACTCGCAGCTCCTGCCCATCGTAGCCAGGGACGGAGAGGCTGGGTGCAGCTTGGCTCCCGCCCCCGGGCGGCCACCATCTGGGGAGGGGTGACAAGGAGCAGGGAGATGGCTAGGACGCGTCCTTCCCAAGCGGTGCCCCCGCCTGCCCTCCAGACCGCCGCTCCGCTTTGTCAGTGCAGCCGGAAACCGGCCCTGGCCGCCTTGGTCGTGGGAGCTCTGCCGGCGGCGCCCAGCCTCCCGTCCAGGGCCCGCTGCGTGCCCGGGGTGCAGGGTGGGGTCTGCTGTTTCTCCGAGCACCTGCTGGTGTTCACTGGACAGACGGCTGCAGCCAGGCTGGGGAGCCGGGGGCACCTGGCCCTGGCACACCCTCTTCACCTGTGTTCTCTCCTCCAGGCGGGGCTGGTTTCCCTTCTCCTACACCCGGGTTCTGGACAGCGATGGCAGCGACAGGTTGCACATGAGGTGAGCGTGCTGACCTGGGCTGCTGGCCCTTTGCTCTGGGGAGGTTGCCGCGAGAACAGGGCGCTGTGGGTCTGTGAGCCGCCCCCGCTCTCTGCTCAAAGGGCTTGGCCGGGCAGTGCTGCCCCCACACCCCGCAGGCTGCGTGTTGAGGCCCCTGGGGGGCGTGGGTGCAGGCCACTTTGTGAGGAAGGGTCACCGGGTGCTCTGTGGGGTGGGGCTTCCCTTGTCCCCCACTGGGCCTGGGAGCACACCCTGCTGTCGCCTCCCTTGGGCAGGCTGTGCGGGGCCCCAGTAGGGGCTGAGCGGTGCCGGGAGGACTGGGGTTGGGGTGGGGTGCACAGGCTTTAGGAATTTCCTGCCGCCACACCTTCAGGCCTGGTTCCACTGGCTCAGTGAGGCTGCAGCCCCTCGTTAGGCCTTCTTGAAGGGTCCGAGGGAGGTGTGGGGAAGGTGGAGGGTTGGATGGGGTCCTGGGGGCCGGGGTTGAGCCGGCCCCTAAGCCCCTGCCCCCACAGCCTGCAGCAGGGGAAAAGCAGCAGCACGGGGAACCTGCTGGACAAGGAAGAGCTAGCCCTCCCGCCCCCCGACTACGGCACAGCCTCCCGCGCCTTCCCTGCCCAGGCAGCCGGCACCTTCAAGCAGAGGCCCTACAGTGTGGCCGTACCTGCCTTCTCCCAGGTGAGTGCCGCGGAAGGAGCCCCAGAAGCGGCTTTCCTGGAGGTCAGGGTGGCCCCGCTGCCTGGCCTTCCCTCCGGCTGGGGCATCGGTGGCCTTCAGGCCTCCCACCTCGCGGGGAGCCTGGGCATCGGGGAGGACTTCGTGTCTGGGAGCCCCCTCCCTGAGGCTGTTGGGCTCTGGCAGTCACGGTCCGAGCGTGGACATGAGCACTTGCATCCGAGGCCTGGGATGTGGCCAGAGGCTTCTTGTTGGTGTGTCTCTGGGCCTCGGGAGGCAGGGCTAGGCACTCATGCCCAGGTCACCCAGTACCAAGTGGCCAGAGGCAGGAGGTCAAGGCCTGGGTCCCAGGTGTGGGTCCCCAGTAGAGCCCCTGGAGCGTATGATGGTGGTTTTGAAGTCTAGGTGGGGTCAGGGTGTGAGTGTGGACAGTACGGCTCTGAGTGGGAAGGTTCATAGGTTGTAGGAGCCCAAGGCTTCCGGAACGTTTGTCTGCTGTGGCTGTGGTGGGAGTAGGGGCCAACAGCTTTGTTCTCGGTTTGCAGTCTTCAGGACTGAGCCCCGACTTGAGGGTCAGCCCCCTAGCCCCCGGAAAGGGGCAGAAGGGGAGTTTCTCTAAGATTGGGCAGCAGGGGTGATCACCTAGGTCTCAGCCCGCCCGGGGCTGTGGTGGAGGGTGGTGTAGGTGGGTGAGGTCCAGGAAGGGCCCCGCTCAGCACCGTCCTGAGCAGCCTTGCCCCCACCCTTCCTGGGAGGTGGCTGTAACTGGCATGAGTGAGGTGCTGTGCGCGAGGCAGCTGTCTTCCAGGAGCTTACAGTCAGGCAGAGTGAACACGAAGGTTGAGACAACTGTATGGTGAGAAGGACCACACTGGGGAGGTGTAGCTAAGGCCCTGGGATGGAACCTTCCAGAGAAGGTGAGGCTGGTGCTGGTGCTCAGGGCAGCAACAGGCGGGAGGCCGGTCCAGCTTGGGAGAGGCGTGGCACCTTGCGGTCATGGGTCCAGCCTGCTGGGCCGGAGACGCCCCAGGCCCGTCCACCCCCACCAGGACACAGCTGGCTGAGCCTAGGCTGGCCTGGCCACTGCACACTGCTCCCACTTCCCAGTGTCCAGGTCTGGTTTTGGCGTGGAGACAGCTGAGGAGGGTGTCCCCAACGGCCCTTGATGGCCCTAGGCCAGGTCGGCAGAGCTGTGGTGGCGTCCACAGCCCCTCCCTCAGCCCCACAGCTGGGGCACTGTCGCTGGTGTCTCGGGGTGCAGGGGCACACTCTGCCCAGGGACTGGCCCAGGCTGGCTTCCCTGCCTGGCCCTCACCCCCTCCCTGCAAGTGTCACTGGTTCCCAGGGAGGCCCCCCTACCTGCTCCAAGACTTGCCAGGTAATCCCAAGCTCACCTGCCTTAGTGCTCTTATCAGGTAACCCGCAGGTGACCACAGGCCCCTGACCGCTCACCACGGGACGTGTGTGTGGAGGGGGTCATCAGGGGATATGTCTTGCTTGTGCCTGTGAGTGTGAGCTCATACCATCCGTGGTCTGCTGCTGGCCGGATGAGGAGATGCCCCCATGCATTTGGGATGTCGCTGCTGTGCGCAGGGGAGGGGTCCTCCACACCCACGGCTGCAGGCAGTACCGCACACACGCTCTGGGGTCAAGGGCGGTGCGCCTAGTCTCCTCTCGTCCCGCAGACCCCTCCTGGCCCCCAGGACCCCCAGCCTAACCTGGGTTGCCTTTCCTCCCCAGGGTCTAGAGGACTACGGAGCGCGGGCTGTGAGCAGGTAAGGGGCTTTCACACTTGTCCTCGGGAGTTGTGGGTGGGTGGGGCCGGCCCCCTCACAGACCCTCCGAGGCCTGCTCCGTGGGGGCCGGACTGCAGACTGTGGAGGCCCCGCTCTGGGTCAGGGCAGGCGGGGCCCAGAGTGCCTGTTCTCCCTGCCCCTCACTCGTCTGAGTGCTGGGGGTGCTGGGGCAGGAGCCCGCGATCCCAGGGTACGGCGAGCCACCTTCATGCTCCGACCCTGGGTGGGTGGGAGCGCAGCCTGGTCCTGTGCCCGCCGCAGCTGCCAGGGCTCCCGGTCGTCTAGCCTCAGCCCGGTGCTTTCCCTGCTCTCCCTCGTCCCGGCTCGGGGTTGGGGGGGCGGGGGTGCTGCTTCCGTCCCTCCTCCGGGGCCAGGCAGCCGGCCGACCCGGAGCTGCCGCAGGAGAGGCGTGCGGCCCTGCAGCGTCCTGTGCTTTGTCCCACAGCGGCAGCGGCACGCTGGTGTCCACGGTGTGAGGGCGCTGACCACGGGCAGCCGCTGCTCGGAAGAGCCCCCCCACCTGTCTGGCCTCCATCGGTTCCCTCCTCTGCTCTTGTTGGTTTGTTCTCGGGCTATTTTTCTTTTTCGCCTGCCCTGTCCCGCCTCTTGGTTGGTGACCCCAGACTCTGAGATCCCCCAGGGTCCATGGTGCTGCCCCATCTCTGCTCCCCATTGTTTACACGCCCCCAACCCCATGTGTCCGCCAGGCGGGAGCTGCTGGCCAGGCAGTGGGGGCCAGGCAGCCTCACGTCTGCTCCGCGGCTGCCATGTCCACGACGCACTGTCCCTTTCTGAAGGCTCATCGCGAGCCAGGCCTAAAGTTTGAAGAAAAAGAAAAATCTTAAAAAAAAAAAAAAAAAAAGGAAAAAAGAAAAAAAAAAAAAAGAAAAGAAAAACAGGAAAAGGAGTTTCTTTCCTGACAAACAAAAGCAGATCTGCATGGACTCCGGTGTGCGTACTGTTACTCCTGCATCTGACTCCCCCCAGCGACGCGGACACCTGTGTCAGGGAAGGGGAGGCTCGAGGCCCCAGGCGCCCCCTCCCAGGGCCGCACCGACGGGCGGACGGGCTCGTGCCAGCCGGGGGGCCTCCTGAGGAAGCGGGCCGCTCCTGTGAGGGAGGCCACGGCCCCCGGCCCCGTGCGGCCCGGCAGCCGGGCCCCTGAGCGCTTCCTTCTCCGCGGATGCTTGGGTCGGTGTCCAGACCAGAGCGCGGGCAGGCGGCACCCCCAGGGCCGGGTGACCTCGCGCGGTGCCAGGCGGGGGCGGGCAGGCGCGGCCCCTTGCGGACTTTCCAAAGAGCTCCAGAGACCACCCCTCCCCACGTGTTCTGGAAACCAGTGGACAGCCTTGTGAGGGAACCGTGGCCCCCGGGCCGCGAGGCTCTGGTCCTGGGGAGGGCGGCTGTGCGCCCGCCACCCCGGGGAGCAGGGGGGCAGGAGGCAGTCCCTGCCCCCGTCCTCCCTAAACGCTCTCGTCTTTTTGTGTGTCTTGGTGACTTCCGAAGCGGACATGCTGGACTCTGCGGCTACTGGTTTGGCCTCTTCACACCCTGAATCTGGGGCGGGAGCCGGGGTGCAGCCCCGCCCGGCCCCTCCCGCCACGGGAGCCCCTGCCAAGCTGTGGACGCTCCTTTTTCTGACATGACCTAACAAAACCCTCCGCGCGCTCTCCTGTGGACTAGGAGTGTCTGTGAGAGAAGCAGCTCAAGACACAGACCCGTTTTATATTTAAGAAAACACAAAGCCAGAACGTGGACCCATGTACAAAGAGCCTTCGTGTTGGTGTTCTGATTTTGCTAAAAGATCTCAAATCCAGGGGATTCCATGCTCGATGGATGAATGTAGACACGAAACTGCGACTCTCGTATGAAGATGTCAAGTGCTCAAAATATTTTCCTGTTTCCTTTCCTCTTTTTTTTTTTTTTAATCTGAATTGTGCCCTGTACTGCAGTCGTTTGAATAAAAGTTTTATTTATTGCACTGAGCTGGGTGTGGTGCTTCCTTCCAGGCTCGCTGTGTAGATCTGGGCGGCCTCAGCGAGCCAGCCTCCGTCCAGGGACTGAGATGCGCAGACAGACAACGCAGTCACTGTCCTCTTGGGGGGCTGGGCCACGTGGGCTGATCGGGGACGCCTGCCGTGGGCAGCCCTTTCCTGCACCTCCCTGCGGCTCCCCGTGGCAGGGCCACGTGCCCCTGGCAGGGCCCCCCCATCCCCCCACCCACCCACCCACCTGCACCAACAGAGCCCTTGTGTTTCCTTGCAGTGCCGATGTGGAAGTGGCCATATTTTGAGCTGACCCTGACTAGAGTTAGTAAGTTGCCCTGGTTTTCTCGTGCTGGTCGGTCTGCCTTCCCAGTGGTTCTGCAGACCCTCTGGCCTCGGCCCTGGCAGGTGGGGACTGGGCACGAGGGTCTGCTGAGCCTGCCTCTGCTCTGGGCTCTGGGCTTTTCGCTTCCTCTTGGATTGCTCTTCGGGCTCTGGGATTTCCTCCCTCTGTCTGGAAGCCTGTGGGCCTGACTGGCTGCGCCCCTGCACCCGCGGCCCCTCCCTGCACCGCTGGGCATGGTCCGGCCCTGGCCCTCTGCCTGGGTCTCCTGCCTCTGTGGGGCGCTTCGGCCACAATCAGGGGGAAGCCCAGTGATCGGCCGGGAGGCCAGCTTTGGGCTCCTTTGGCCGGGTGTCCCCTCGGACCGGCCCCTGTGGGTGTGGGTCTGAGCCCGGCCTGGCCGGCTCTCTGGTTGGTGAGTACTGCAGCCTCTCGGGGGGCCGGGGACACCAGGGTCGGTCTTGGGGACAGCTCCATGGCTCATGCCCACGTGGGTGTCTCGGGCACACCAGAGCAGGTGGACTCAGACTCCGCTGTCTGCTCTGCCTGGACTCACCTCGCACCTGCCCTGACGTGGCTCCACGAGGCTGCAGCAGGCTTTCCAGACCAGGCCTTCAGCCACCATGTGTGGGTGCCCTGGCTGGCCTTCTACAGCCCATCCTGTGACGGTCCCTTGCACTCAGCCCTGGGAAAGCAAGCGCCAACAGCCAACGAGGGGGAGCCCCGCACTCTGGGCCCCTGTGCCTGGGAGAGGACACACCGCTGCCACCTGTCCCCACCCCCACCCAGTCACCGAGAAGTTTGCCCCATGAAGCTGGCACCTGCATCCTCCGTACCCCACGGAGCACCCCAGCAATGTGGTCCTCCCCAAGGGCAGTGACTGCCCCAACAGGTCCTGGACTCACTCGCCTTTCAATGTGTCTGAGCTGCAGTGTGAGGAACTTCTGGAAAGTTCTGGAGACAAATGCTCCTGACATTTGGGGACAGGGTGGAAAGGCCTTCCCTGCCTCGAGGTTCCTCCTCTTCCAAGAGGCCCTAAGAGGCCTGCACCTCCCACCCCCACTGCCCCTGCAGCCCCCGTTGCTCTGGAGGCCAGCCTGGCCTCTGCCTGAGCCCTGGTCCCCAGTGTAGGGCAGTCCCCCGGCCCCCGGGGGTGCCGTGGGCATCCGCACCACGCCACCAGCTGGCTTCCCCGCCAAAGAACCAGCCCGGCCCGGAGACTGGAGATTCAGCCGGGGGTGGGAGTCAGAAGCCCCTGGGTTGGTTGAGGCGCCCCGGCCGGCTCTGCTGAGCTGTGCCCCCCGAGGTGCGGTCCTGGCGTAGAGCAAGGTGGACTCAACCCCAGGAGGGCCAGCATCCTGGAGGCATGAGAACCGCTTGTGCCTCAGAGGAGAACGTTCCGGAGAAAGTGGACATCTGCCCCAGCTGCTCTCCGCTCCTTCTGCTCCAGAGTCACGGGAGGATGGAAACCGCACCCCGAAACAGCTTTTTCACACTCATGCAGTGAACTCAAGACAGTTACAGGCCACTCCTTAAACCCACGCAAGATCTGAATGGGAAGGTGCTGGGCCTCGGCGCTCAGCACCCGCCCTTGGGCCTTAGGGTTTGCAGAAAGGGGGCCCTGCGGTGCCCCGAAGGGTGGCCCCTGGAACCCAGTACTGGATCTGCCCCCCACGGTGGGGTCCCGGCTTGGGAGCTAGCCACAGTCCTGCTCCGCCGAGTGTAGATCCATTCCCTGTCCGAGGGCCTGCCCCGGAGTCCTTGCAGGGGGTGTGCTCGGCGGTGGGGGGGCGGTGGGGGGCGGGGCTGGTCACAGCCACGCCCGTGGGAGACGCCTGGACGGCTCCTGACTTGGAGCAGACCTGCCCTCCCGGGCCTGCTGTGCTCAGGTGGTTCCCCTCAACTGCACTTTGCTGTCAGGACGCTCGCTTCCTTGTGTCTTGGTGGTTTGTGGTCAGTGTCCGCCAATGGTGCTATCGGGAGGAAGCCTCTGTCCCTGGCGCGCTCCCCCAAGCAGTGACCTGTGTCCGTGGGACCAGAGACTGTGAGGTGGGCCTCGGGTCCGCATTGTGTCCTGTTGTGTCAGGTTGGTGTTGACCCGCCCAGGGTCACGCAGACGCCTGCCCTCGGGTAGCCCAGGAGCCCGCTCTTCCCCAGGAGGTGGTAGCCCCCCCGCCCCCGCCCGGGGCCGCACCTCCCCGTGGTGCTGCAGGGTGGGCACACCCCAGCCAGAGGTCTCTGGCCGGGCCCGGGCAGGGGCCGCGGAGGGGAGGCCCGGGGCGAGTTCAGCCCCTGCCCCTTTCCTCAGAACCCGCGGTGTTGATGATACCGTGCTCCACGGTCACGCGGTTTTGGGGAAGGAGATTAGGAAGGTGGGGGTCAGAGACCAGACATCCTCTCAAGGTGGGGGGGGGGCCTCTCCGGCCCTGCTGCTCCCTCTCCAGCCCCAGGTGATGACGCTGCTTTGCCACCAGTCTTTTCTGATGAGGATTCAGGTGTGCCCAGGGCAGGAGTAAGGTGTGCGCTGCCCAAACCCACTTGGCTGTTCTGCCCTGGCTCTGCTCAGCACAGGAGCTGCCCTTCCTTCTCGGCCACAAGGCCTGTGCCCTTTCCTCTACTTGGTCCCCAAGCCCAGACGAACAGACCTGACCCGTTCAAGGCCCCCAAAACATCCTGCCTTGACCCCGGCTGGGGACAGCCAAGGGCCTGAAGCCTTCCACTAGAACCAGAGTCTAGTCAAGGTGACAGGCAGGGCATGGGCCACCCTCCGCCCTCTGTCCTGGGGGCAGATGTCCCTGGTCACAGCAGCCTTGGCCTGGGGAGCCCTGAAGCGGCCGCTGCCCCTGACCATCAAAACTGAAGCTCTGCACACATCGGCCGGAGAGAGGACCGGAGCGCATGGAGGGGCCTGAGGCGGCCTTGACCCCCAGGGGTCACAGCACTCTGTACCAGAGGACGTTCGTAAGCAGCGCACCCACGTGGGATTTTCGGTCGTCACTTGCAGATGTAGAAGCTGTGCACCAATAAGTCGGCTCCTCTCCCTAGTTTATCCTTTTAAAAATTCAGTCCAAAGTGTCTCCGCGTTTTAGAAAACACAGGGCGGTGCCCCCACCCCCACATGCTCTCCCTGGGCCCTGGACGGAGCGCCCGCCCACCCAGCTCCTGCGGACACCAGCCCAGCTGTGCCAGCGGCGACGGCGCCCCAGGTAACGGCCCGAGAGCCGAGTGCTTCGCCGGGAGTGCGTCCTGCCCATGCCGAGCCCTCCGTGTCCCACGTTCCATCTGTGCTGTCACCCCTGGGGCTGCCTGATGTCCCCAGCCCGCTGTCCTTGGCTGTCCCTGCCCAGGCAGGTCCTCCCAAGCCCAGTGGGGACTCCGAGGAGAGGCTTCTGTGAGGACCAGGCTGGGTGCTGGTCTCTGCTGCGCTCATCTCGTCCCATCCCAACCTCTTGTCTGGCCAGTCCGTCTGTCCGTCAGCTGTGGCCTCAGGCCTGTGGGGGTGGGGTGACGGGGGGGCTGAGCCCCGTAGCTGCCAGTGTGCGTGCACCCCCTGTGTGTCGTGTTGGCGTGGGGCGGGCCGAGGCCCCGTGTCTGCACCCAGCCGCGTTATGGGACCCCGGGATGCATGGGCCGGGGTCGTGAGAGCTGCTGAGCTGTGTGTCGATGGCGTGTCTTTAAAAACGGGCCGCTCCTGCTCTTGGGCAGGTGTCAGGTGCCTCCTTGGCCTTATGGGGCGGAACACCGAGCCTGGGTGCACGCCTCAAGACTGCCTCCGGTTTCAGAGGAAGAACTGGCTCCTGGCCCACCGGGCCGCTCCCCACACCCCCACCCGCCCTGCCCCAGGAGGGCGGACGGCGGCAGGTGGGGCGCATCAGCAGGCAGCCGGCCCTGCGGACAGCACCCTGCCCTGGCTGTCCCTAGCAGGCTCCATTGCCGCCCTGCCCCGGGCTCAGAGGCTGGGCCCTCCGCGGGGCTGCGGGACCCTCCCTGGGGCGCACGCAGGGCAGCCCGGGAGGCACGGCGCCCCTCCCACGCTGAAGCCACCCTTCTCTTCTCTCCTCAGGAATCCCTTTGCCAACGTCCAGCTGAAGCCGACAGTGACCAATGACAGGTCTGCCCCCCTCCTCGGCTGATGGCCAAGTGCCCACCGCTGCCCACCGGGCCCCTCCTCCCCCACCCACACACACACACCTCTTTTGTAACAATCTGTGTGGTCCCTGTCTGGAGAATTTTCTCCTCCTTCCACGCCAGCCGCCTGCCTGGCTCTGCCCCACTTCAGTCTGGCCTGGGCTGGACCCCGGCCGTTTCTTCGGAGGTGGCCCCTGGGCCGTGGCAGAGGAGAGTGAGTGGGGCCGGCCCCGGAGCTGGGAGCTGCCCCCTGGGCGGTGCGGCCAGCCTCACAGGCAGGCCCGCCTGCCTGTGGGGGCCGTGGCCCCCCAGGTGAGCGAAGGATGTTCGGTCAGCCTGTAGCCAGAAGGGGAGCCCGGCTCCCACACCGCTCACAGCTCCCAAGTGTCTGGTCAATAAACAGGCTGCCCCACCTGTGCCTGCTTGTCATCTGTCGGCCTGAGGGGGGGGCGAGAGGCCTGGGGCAGAGGAAGGGGGCACCGCCTTTCTCTGGAAGATGAATTTATTAGGAGCCCTCGACTGGGACTCTGCTGAGCCTCCCCACTCCTGCTGGCAGTTCTGGGGGGACACTGCCCCACCCCGCCCCTCCCCACCCAAACCCCAACCTCCCTCCAGAACTGGCTGCTGGGCCCCCAGCTCTCCTCCGCATCCCTGGAGTGAATAGTGGGTGCCATTGTTGGTGGGGCGGGGGAATCCCCCCACCAGCTGCTTCCACAGTGTTTGTGGCTGAAGTACACCCCTGGTGACCAGCATGGCGACCAGCAGTCCCCATCTGAGGAGCCGTTCCAGGCAGCAGTCACCCCTCCTGCCAGGCTCTTGAAGGAGGGATTCGGCAGCCCTGATCCGACCGAAGCCTGTCCACAGCCCAGGAAGAGAAGCAAAAGGGGTCACGGGTAGGGCAGGTGGGGGCACAGGCCTCTGGCCTCACAGGAGCTGGGCCAGGTGGGGTCTCAGGGCAGGTGTTCGGGGTAGAGACGCACAGAAACCCAGACTCTGCTCAAAAACCCTCCTGCCTGCGGCTCACCCTGCCCCCGCCCCCGTGCTTTCGGAAGGCGGGGGGCAAGAACGTCCGGGGAGGTGTGTGGGTCCCCCCACAGGACAGGAAGAGAGGGCTGCTGCCGCCAGCGCCCTCCCCTCCCCAAGTCACTGTCCCCCCTCCACCGAGGTGTGCCAGGGCAGCTGGGGCAAAAGGGTGGCCGCCCTCTCGCATCCCCCGCCGCCTCCTGTGGTCAGGAGGGACCGCCGTGCCCTGGGCAGACCTGGTAGCTGCGTCCCCACCTCAGCACCACCCAGGCCCCCTCCTGCCCAGCGCTTTATGTGCAAACCACAAAAGAAAACACTTAGGACGAAGGCTTTTTTTTTTTCCTTAGCTTGATTTCTTTTAAAAAACAAACAAAAGAGGAACAAGAAATTCATTGCACCAGCATCCTAAGCCTCAAACTAATCAAAAACAAAAGACACAAACCCAAAACAAGTCTCCCACCCACACCCCCAAAGCAACAATAAACTTTACGTTTCTTTGGCAACAATAACTTAAAATCATCCCATTTCCATTCGCTCAGACAACAGCAGTTACAAAAATATTCCCTGCGCTGCCCTGCCCCCCGCTGCCCCCCAGCCCCACTCCTTCCGTGCCCCCACTCCTGCAGGCAGGAGCCCCTCGCACTGTGGGGGTGCAGTCCCCCCGCTGTCCTGCGGCTGGGCGGGGCTGGGCAGTGCCCTGGAGGGGGGCTGGCCATGCCAGCCAGCCACAGGCACCTCTAGAACAGGTGTGGCCGGGCCAGGGTGTGGCTGGGAAGCCCCCCACCTTTCAGGCTGCCCACCCTGACCCACCCGCCCGGGCTCCAGCAGCAGACTCAGGTGGGAGCTGGCCCAGACCACGTCGGGGAGGGAGAGTGTATGGGTCTAGCCAAGTCAGTGAAGGGAAACACGGCCACAGACTTTGAGGTAAGGGTGGTGTTGGGGGTGGGGGGGGGACACACAAGCCCAGGGTCCTCTTCTTGCATTGAGCAAACCCAGAACCAGGCAGAAGGGGCGAGGGGGGCAGAGAGGGGCCGTCCCAGCGGGCCTGTAGCCATTCCCTCACCTGGGGTGAGGACACAGCGTCCTATAACTCACCACACGAACTGGTGGGCAGGGCATGCAAGACCCCCCAGCCAAGAGCAGGTCCCCTGGCCTCAGAAGCCAAGCAGCCCATTAGCAGGGTCAGGGTGGAGGGGCAGCTGTAGGGTAAGGAGCTGCTCAGGCCTGAGGCTATAGGGCATCCCCAGCAGCTAGCAACAAACCCGAGCGTCCAGGGTAAACCCTGCCCCTAGGGCGTACAGGGCTGCCCCGCCATCCGGTGCGGAGGCCTCTGGTCCTGCCCTGCTCCCCCAGAGCGCTGTGTGGGGCACCAATGCGCTGGAAGCTGCTGCCGACCACCAAGGTCCCCGCTCTCGGTCACCATCCTTGCTGGGAACAGGACCAGCAGGGGCTCCAAGGAGGCCCGCCCGGGCCTCAAGCCTCTTTACAGCTGCCCCCAGCACCTGCTACAGGGCCTGGCAAACAGGAGGGGCCACATGAGCATTTGGAGACACACCGGGGACAGAGATTCCTGAGAGTCCCCTGCCCCAGGACTCCCACCTGACCTCCGTC